TTTCTTATTGCCTTTTTCCAGGAAAACAGGTTCCTTATTCCCTTATAATACGAACTCGGCCCCTTGTACAAGAAAACACTTAACGTTTTAAAAAAGCTTTTCCTGTGATCTCATTACTGTGCCCACTGTGTTATGTGTTAATGGAAACCTCATCAATTACCGGCTGTTCAGCTACATCCTGTGCAATGCAGGGTCACCCTATGGAGCTTATATGGAATTATGGACAAAAGGCCTATTCTCTTCCACATAAGCACAAACCCAAATTAATTTTGAGTCAGACTTGGCAGCATTTCAAATTTCTGCTGCCCATGTAGTTAAAAAGAATGACACTAATGAATAAAATTATTTTATAAGAGCGCTGACTTACATCCTAAAAATGTTGACTCATTTCGGCGCCCGTTCCATGGCTCATTTTGCACATGCAATCTCCTTTGTGAGAAGCGCTTCCTCTCCTAGTCCTGACTTCAGCCTGGTGTTTGATCTCACCCAGTGCCCACCAGGTCATGTGTACAAGTTTTTCCATTTATTCCAGCACTTGATCTATTTGCCCCAGCCTAGTTAATTATATGAAAAAAAGAGTACAAAATTATTAGCTAGACAGTAAGGAAATAATTTCTTTGTTGTGCCTGGCTGTTTGACTACATTTTCTCTGCTTTGTACTTGTTTCCCGGGGGAATTTTTCACATAGCTCATAACCTGAAGTCAGCCCTTGGTCTGAGCTGTCCCATCTGTGCTGCTGCTTGATGCTGACGTGGGCAGGAGGGAATGCAGGAGAGAATACCTTGGATAGGGCTATCAGTGGCAGTGAGACAGGACTGAGTCAGGCCTTTACTTGTCACCAGTATTTTAACTGAATTCCATCAACAGCTGGAAGTGCTCAGCTTTTCTAAAATCTCTGCTGACAGCACACTGCATGAGTGACTCAAAAATAAAGGTAAGCAGCTTTACTGAACACAGGAAGAGGCTAATCAGTGAATTTTCCTATTGATTCAAATGGCAGCAGAATTAGACTGATTCTCCAGCGGAATTTTAAATGCCGGGTATTAAATATTTTGTAATGCAGGACTACTATTTTTGCACGGTTAACCAACACATCAGACATTTTCACCAATTCACATGAACCACTCATTGAAAATTAGTCCTCTAATAACCTGTATCCTCACACGATGCAAAATCAGAGCCAGCCACAGAGAAGAACTGTCAAGTGCTGTTAGAAAAATATTAGGATGAAGGAAGCTCTTGAGTAAGTTTCCTTTAAAGCCTTGCATATAATGAATAACACACACTGCTCTGTATTATATGAGTATTTCCATTATTTCCATTTCTTGGGTAACCTAAGGAATCTATGCACAGAAATATGAGGGGAGCAGGAGGTGTTGAAGTGGTCAGATCCATTCATAACTATGAAGTATTTATTATTATTTGTTTTATCAACAGTTTGGTGTTTGGGCTATCAAAAATCAATAGAGAAAAAAGCAGCCAACCCTGTGGAATTGTACAGAAACTAAAACCTATTCTGGCAGATGATTTCCAACTGCTGTCATGGAAGTTGCCAGTCACAGCACAGATTCCCCAGCTTTGGTCATTGGTGTTGGTCTACAGGACTGCTGTCAAAACAAGCTAAATACCAAGACTAAGTATTGGAACCATTTTGCAAAATCAGGAATGGGCTTCACCTGGAGCCAGTTCACCCTCTGTAATGTCATCTTAATGGGTTATTTTCCCTACCAATCCCAAAAGACCATAACAAGCCTTTGCTTTCCTATAAAAATACAGGCTTTGTTAAACACAGATTACTGACTTGAAATCCCCCAGTGCTGCAGCAGGAGTTTAACTTCCAGTTTCCACAGATTTGTGATTTTTCAGCATTTTTTTGCCTTTTTTTCCTGAAAAGCTGGATGCTGTAATTTCAGAATCCAAGCTATATGTAACGCCCAGATTGATTTTGAGGTTTCCAAAGTACTACTTGCTTATTTTCCTAACTAAGAAAACATATTTTTGATTTCCTTTTCATTTGCAATTCCTTATTCATTTGCATTTCCTTTTTCAAAAGCAGTTCAATTTGTGAATGAGTTTTCAATAGTTTTGTACAGTAGAGAGAACACTTTTTAAGGTGGCTAAATGCACTAAGAGTATTTCATATCTGGAATCTTTCTAAAGCTATATCAGAGTAATAATCCTCTGTTTCTTGTTTTTAAATATGTGAAGGTAAAGTCCACCCTTAAAGCTAAGTGCAGTTTTTTACCGTTATTTTAAGTGTGAGAGTCCATTTTAAGTCCAAAAGAATCAAGCTTCTCCAGACCACAGTCTATAAATGTAACTCTTGCTTTGTCTTTGCTCTTTCCAATAACTTTTGAGTGATTGTGACTACATGTGACAGAGGCAGTAGTCACAGAGATAATGAGCTTCCTCTGAGTGTGATAAAAGCAGTCAAGCAGATCAGAGTGATTCTCTGCATGGCACCTGTAAGTGCCAGAGCCGCAGGACAAACTGTGCATGTGCTCAGACTGTTCAGACACCAGAGAAACAATATGGGGGAGACACTCAGAAATGCTCAAGCCAAGAGAGAAGCTGCAAGCAAAGTGCCAAGTGTACAGCCTGCAAAAAACCCTCCATCAGCTCCAGGATTCCTTAAAAGAGTCAGTTCCTCTTTACAGTAAGTTTACTATTATGTCTTGAACGGACGCCAGACTGCGTCTCTAATTTGTAAATTGTAACAAAAGCTTAATTTCCTGTAGCATTAACAGACCTCATATCATAGGGAAAGCTCATTTATAGTTTCTAAAACAAATGAAGGCTCCTTCTGCTTATAAGGTCACATCACAAAGAACAATCATGATAAAAATTAAAATCTGCAAGAGTCAGTCTGTACATGTGGATCCTTCCATTAAACATGCACCCTGTCTTGGGAGTGAATCATTATGACGCTGCTTTTTTTCTTCTTGATGCGTTTTTTGGAATTGTAGTTACTTCCAAACCTTTTTCCCTGAGTAGCCTGCCCTCTTTTCCCCCACCTCCTGCTGAGTACCATTTTGCAAGCTCAGGCACAAATACCTCTACCCAAATAGGTAAAGAAGGTTCACTGCACAGCCCACACACCTTGGGGAGGCAAATGCAATCAGAATACACGAGTTAAGTGCCAAGCTCCGAGCTTTGCCTGAAGCACTTTGCAAGACTCATCATACTCATTTGTTCTCTTCCCCCTGTGCTGATCAGGAGAGCCCTTTTTCTTCCAGACTACAGAAGGGTTGGAAAAAGAGCTTAGGTCAGGGAAAATGAAATATTGTTACTTGATGCCAAAAAGTGTTTACTAGGCGATGAAGGAAACCTTAACCAGCTAGGCTGAGCATGCTTTTAACTGGTCCTTCCCAAAGGATAAAAGCAAGCAACTTGTCATGACAGAAACAGAATTTCAGACAATTTAAAAATGGCCATAATGAGTTGCTTTCAGGCTAATATCTTGTATATAGTCAAATACTTTGAAAACAAATTAAATTCTTGCCAGTCCTGATGTTTTTTAAATAATGCATATCCATATCCCCAGAAGAAATCTCAGCAAGAAAGAACAATCTGTGCATTTCTGTCCACAAAGAAGTGCAACAGACACTGTGATAGCATAGTTTTCACGTTGCTGTAGAAACCCCAGCAGAGTATGGTTTGTGAGTGATTAAAATACAAATTGTAATGCTCCATAAAGAATTAACCACAGATAAGCAGAACTAAGACGAACACAGGCAATCCCAAACACTACGTTACCTGCTTTCCTTAGCATTGGACCTCTTTTGTTCTTATAAACAAAAGTTTAAACTGATAAAGTTGCATTTTGCACCTTTTGAACAGTTTGGAGGTTGCTAAAGGAAGGGCACAGTTCACTGGATATATGTGGCATTTTGCATGGAAAGCAAAATCACTCTCTTTCTTTTAGACTTTTGTCTCAAAAAAAGATAGTGGAAATAGTCATGTGCTCACTCAAGAACCAGATTAACACTTTCCAGACAAAAAAAAATTAAGAGAGGAAAAGGGGACCTTATGGAGAGGTGAATCAACAGACTCACATTACAAATTGCCAAATAAAGTGTACGTGCTCCATGAGGCGGAATTGGACCTCAAGAATGAACGGCATAGATTAAAACCAGCAGAAAAGTAAAACATAGTAACTAACCCAAACTAACAAGCAAACGATGTGAGACAAAGAAGCCATCTGACTGACAGCCAGCCCGGTGGGACAAGGAAATCAGAGATGATCAGGTCATGCAGACCTCTGCAGCGCTCAGAAATAAGCAGATTACTATTCAGAGCACATGGGACTGGGATAATGCTAAACCCTCGAAGACATTTCACGGCATTTGTTTCCAGCCCCTTTGTTCCCCGCTAACACGTCTGGAGATCTCTCCATCCCCTGTGCCCCCAGACGGCCCTGGGGGCCTCTCGCCCCGAAGCTGGGCGTCCCAGGCCAGGCTCTGTCCAGGCTCCTTCTGCTCTTTGTGAGGCTGTCGGAGGTCCGGGGAGAGACAGGCACGGGACAAGGCAAAGAAGGTGGCTGCTAGGGGAGCGCCAAAGCGAGGGGTGGGGTGAGCCTGCGGTGAGACCGCGGGCAGAGCAGAACTCAAAGGGACGCCGGCGAGGGTGAGGGATGGTACAGGGGTGGTACTCCCGAGGCTGGCGGGGGAGCGGGAGGGAGCCCCGGGGCCGGGCTCGGGGGACGCACCCCCCTGTAAACCCCGCCGGGGTTGCCCGAGGGGCCGTGCCCGTGGCCGGGCGGGCGCTCCGCTCCGCTCCCCGACGCGCTGGGCAGGCTGCGGCAGGTAGGGAGCCGACAGTGCCGGGGCTGCGCCTCCCCTCGCCCCGCTCGCCCTGCCCCCGCGGGCCGGGCAGCCGGGGGCGGGCGGCAGGGGTGTGCGGCGAGGGGGATTAGCGGGACGCCGCGGCCCCGCCTTCCCTCCTCGCATCCCGGGCGCGATGAGAGGGGGAGATGGACCCAAGCCGGCGGGACTGGCACCATGACATTCGCCGGCTTCGTGGTGGCGCTGGTGATAGGGGCGATCCCTGGAGCCCGCGGGCCGGGGCAGGTCTCCGCCAGCCTCCCGGCCGCCCGCGCCCCACAGCCCCCCGCCGGCTGCCCCGCCGGGGGCTTCCCTGCGGCCCAGCGCCCCTGGGCACCGGCGGCGCCCGTTCTGCCGCGCCGGGGGGCGGCGGGCCGGGCGCCGCGGGGCCGCCGCAGCTCCTGCGCCCTACCCGGCGGCGGCGAGGGACGACCCGGCTGCGCCCCCGGAGCCGGCCGGGGCGCGGCGGAGCGCGGCCGCGCTGACTGCGAGCGAGGTAAGCGGGGAGGGGGTGAGCCGAGGCAGGGGTGGCGGCGGAGCGGAGCGGGAGAGTGCGAGGGGCTGAGGGACGCAGGGGGAGACAAACGCTGAGAGAGCCTTGGCCGGGCGGCGGCGTTCTCCCATCCCGTACCCGGTTCCCTGCCGCTGGAGGGAACGGGGAACGAGGGGATGGACACCGTGTACCAAAGTGACAGCGAAAGCTGTTCGCACAGGAGAGTTAAACTCGTGCATCAGAGGATGCAGCGGAAAGACGAAGGTCCCGCCTGGGTTTATTTCTCCGCTATTCTAATACTGGGTAGGTGAACAGCGTTTCAAAGCTGCGCCATGAGCGTTCAGTAGGCTCAGCTTGTCAAGGCTGGCTGGCATTCCTGTTTTGTAACCGGGTTCACTTACTGGGAAAGCACTTTGTCTACAGAAGTGAAGTGGCAGAAAGAGAAATAGAAGGATGCCTGGCTCCAAAGATGAGATGTTTACACAGTATGACTTTGTTTGCCTCCCCCTCCCCAGTCTTAGGATAATGGGGTTCACAAGTTAGTGCTGGTGCTCAACAACATCTGTGAGCTAAGCCAAGAGACTTGTGCTCCCCTCACACACTCCGAGATGAACTCCCACTGACTTCAGTGGAAGTTTTCAATGCGTAGGGACTGAACAGCAATTTCTGCATCCAGCTCTTGATCAGCTTTACATTTCATCAGTGTTGGCATTAAATAAATTGATGTACAGTCTGGTTTTGAGTGAGTTCACATTTTCTCCCACATTGCTCTGGTAGTATCTTCTACCTAAATAAGAATTGTGTCCTATCTATAGCTATACTAAACATGACCAAGCATAATTGTTGAAATGAAAATGAAATTTCCTTGCTTCATTATCCTTCCTTTTACATCTTTGGTAATAGCACAAAGTCAGCAGGGAGATGTATTGTTAATATTACTTTTTTGTTTGTTGTGAAAGCCGACTTTGGGTTGTAAGGGTTTTTAAAAATTAATTTACCTTCAGATGACTGAAAAGGATTCTTATCCTTCTCTTACAACACTACCCATAGAAGGTGTGTGAAAAAAAGGTAGTTTGAACAATTATAGATATTGGTACAAAATACCCCATGAAGAGGATATGGAGATATCAAGGTCCCTATTGATCATTTACACATCAAAAAAATGCAGCTTCCAAAGCTGTGTTCCAAGTCACATGTACTCCTTCAAGAAGACAGAATGATGTTATGCAGTACAGATGTTTCTCTGGGAAGAATACCAGGCAGCTGTTGGCATGGAGGAGAAAACAGATATATTTTTTTCACAGATGAAAAAAACCCCAGAAGACTTCATGCCCTTTAACTGATCTCACTTCCAGAGAGGGTACCACAGTTGCTTCTCTAATTTAGCCCAGCATGTTAATAGTTTTCTTAGAATTCTTCAGTCTGGTTCCCAAAATACTTTATGAGGGCTTAGTCTAATATAATAGTGAAGAACACAGCAGTTTATTGCTAAGAGCCCAATCTTGCACTTAATAAGTTTCAGAATCCCCTGTAAGTTCAGCATGAAGGGGATTTAAGCAAAAAAAACCACTAAAAATACTACATGATTTGGGTTTTGCTGTGTTTCTCCAGTCTTTTCAGAATGCTGCTTTGTTCCGCCAGAAAAAGGAAATTCAGGTTGGCCCCTGCTAAAAGGGAAGACACAGCTACTGAAAAATAGCCAATACTTTGTAATGGACAGATCATCTGTTCCTGTTGGACTTGGTGGTAAACTCCAGTGGCATCACCAGGGCCAGTGTCTGTCCAAAAGCCTCCATGGGGCAAGATGAAAGAATTAGAGAGTTTGTGAGATGGTTAAAGGTGGAACATGGACACAAATCAAGCCATTTGTCCAGAAATAAAAGATTCCTGTAACATTCCCCTGAAGTATGTTCCTTTCTTACAAGAGGCAAAAAGATGCCAGTGAGGCAATGTCATGATGTGGTTATAGCTAGAGAGAAACAGACTGCTCAGAGAGAAACTCACTACACCTCTTGCTTTAGTACCTGGGCTAAGGAAGCCCATACTCAGTGTTAGGCACCTGCCATAACTAAATACAATACCATATTCAAAGGCTTACCTGTAAATCTCTGGGTTTTTCTAGCTTAAATATTATAACATATCTGCAAAGTTAATTGGCTAAACTTTGTGCTTATGCATATGTTAAATTGTTTTATATTTAAACAGTGACAATGAAATTTTAAAGTGCCTTTGCAATTATACCGTACAGTACTAGACTAAAATCAGTTTTACTGTTTAAACTAATAGGTTTTGGTGTTTCATTTCCTTCCTTCTAAAAATATCTGGGTAACATTACTTATTCATGCCTTGAAAGCAAGTAAATGAAATAGAAATATATATAACTTAACACGATTAACCAAGGATACCAGAGAGGACAATAAATGAATATGAGCATACTCTGCACAAAGCCCCTCTAAGTCCACCAGAATTTAGTATTTTAGTTGCTGCTAATAACAACTTACCTGTGGTCTACTCAGGTTCCAAGAACGAGGCCTAGCTCAGTACCTGGGAGCAGCTGCTGTCACACAATGTTTGTGTGGCACATAGTTACAGTTTTGTGCATATGTTGTTCATGCTATGTTGTTACACATATAATTTAAGGCACTCTGAATGAAGTGGGTTAATTATTTGCTTTTCTATTACGAAGAGGTAATACAAAACGAGGTAAGTGCCTTTGTCAGAGGTCAGTGGCAGAACTGGAAATAAAGTACAAAAGTACACATCTCCAGGAAGGCCTGACTTTAGAACCTTTCCATTAAAATTGCTTTTATCAAAAGGTGATTCCACTAATGTCAATCACATAAAGGTTCACTAAACTTTTGTGAGAGAAAAATCAATCATCAGACTCATAATCTAAACACTAGATTATTCTCCCTACCTGTTATACTATAGTCCAAGCAGTTGATGGAATGACTTCTGGGACTTTGGTTTTGTCCAAGAGCTTATGATTAGAAGTGAAACATGAATGCCCATATTTTCCTTCTAAGAAGCAGCTCCTCTGGAACCATTCTTACCCGAGCTGCACAGAGCGAGACCCCTCATTTTCTCCAGCTCTGCCCACATCTGACAAGTGCAGTCCTTCAGAGCCTGTTACATTGCTTACTTTCAGTTTAGATTCTCAGAGCTTTAAACCACTGATTGCTGACATGATGGATCTCAGTGCTGCAGAGGAACCAACACAGCACATTACACACTCAGTGTATACAATATTTATGAAAGTTCTAATATAAGAATCCTTGAGTATGCAATACTGCTACTGATCCTCAAGATAGTTCTTAAAAAGTAGTTCTGCTGGAGGCACCCTTTTTCAAGGTTAAAATGCCTGGAGAAAATAACTGTAATTTTAGTCTAAGAGCAGTGCTCAGTAAAGTGACAGACAATAGCATTCATTGATCACAGTGAGCACCATGCATAATTTTGCTGAACTTAACAGGATTAATTTATTTTATTTTAGTTAGGCCTGATCCTGAAAGGGGAGTTTCCATTGATTTGAACCAATGTTAGGTTTTACCTGTGCTACATGCAGCTTTTTACAAGTACCTCATACAAACCAGTGAATTAGTTTTATTCTGAAACTGGGATAGACCCCTTTTATATGTATTATGGATCATCCCCATGTATTCTAAATACTACAAGTAACTGTGTGATCCCATGGGATATAGAGCATATATCAGTGGGAAACCTTCGCACTTGATGTCAATTTGGACTGACCTAATTGACTCCAAGACAGCAGAGATGAATTGTCAATGCAGGGCCTTTCAGAAGCATTGTTCCACATTGGAACACCTTGAATATTAGTGCAGAAGTAAAAATATTTGTTGTTTTTACAGATTTCCAAAATTGAAATTACTTCTCTTGCTTTGCTTTAAATCTGCCATTTCAGAGCACGCTGCACTGGGGTGAAAGGCACAGGCAATTTTTACTTCTGATTCCTATTTTCCCAGCCTACATTTACAGCCAAATTGCAAACCTTTGGACAGTGTATACCAAGAAACTATGGCACGCCTTCAGCCAACATTATAAACACTACTGCTGCAGCACTAACACATACAGCAGAAGTGGAAGTGATTCCCATCCTATTTGTAATTCAGCCACACAGTAACAATGCTCATTCCCAGTGAAACATAAAAAATAAAAGAGTTTGAAGTTACCCAGCAACTCTGCACATGAGAACGTATAGGAAAAGAGGCCAAGCACAACAGTGCAATTCCTTTGAAGCTCTTCTGCTTTTCTGAGTTAATTAAAAGTTGGCTGGGTGGTTTTCCTCTCCCTGTTTTCCTGAGTGTCTCATCTTCAGCCTATATGGCAGGTGTTCTGGAGCAAGTCTCAGCAGCACCCACTGGATACCCTTACTTCCTTGCATTTGCAAGTATAACTTAATCTCCTTTCAACAGTGATAGCAGATAGGAAAGACTCTGACTTGGGCAGATACCAGGACAACTAAAATTACCAGACTGTATGTAAACAACAGGAATTGACCCTCAGTAACCTCAGCTAAAACAAAATGACAGTAAATGCATACATACTTTCTGAGTATACTCATTTTTATAAATGAAGGCATTTCTGTCAAGACAGCAGATTGTATTTTTTGATAAAGGGCTGAATTAAGTATGTCCTAAGACCACAGTATATGTCTAGAGCTGTCTCATAGGCCTGCTTTGTGTCCTGTGCCCTTGTTTCTAACTACTGTGGGGTCACATCACCTCTCCTCATCCTCCCTCTTCCTAACCAGTGCTGAGGAGGGCAGAGCCATGGGCAGGATCCTGGTGCTGCTGCTCTCTGTTGTTGAGCTTTGTGTTGAGGCAGGGCAGGTTTGATAAGCACTTTAAGCAGAGGTCTGACACCATACTGAACTGGTGGAGAGCAGAAAGAGTAGATACTACTGCATTAGTTCTACTCCCAATGGGTTTATAGTTTTGTTCAGCAACAAAAAGAGCTGAAAAATTATAGCTTAAAAATCTGAGATGCTACTGTACCTCTGACTCCAGAAACCTAGAGCCTCCAGTGCATACACTTAAGCCAGACATGTTTTGTAAGAGGGAATGCAGACACTCTGCAGAGTTGTTGTGCTCCAGGGGCAGCACAGAGGAAGCCCCTGAGACACGTGTTTGGGTGCTTGAGGTGTTACATTGGAACGGCAGTAGACTTAACCAGTGAAAATAAGAATTAACCTGTATCCTTTCAATCATGCTAAATATTAGGTTTCTTGCTTCCTATGAAGTGAAAAAGTATTTCCTGGCAATTTTACACTGCAAACACTGAGTATCTTGCAATTAAAATATTAGCACATAAAGAGATAGTTGGTAATACAGCATAAACACACACCGTGGCAGATCATGTTATCCTGCAATTCCCTAGGATCAGTTGACATAGGAAACACAGAGCTGTGTTTCATCATGAAGAAAGAGTTTTATATACTGGAAAGAAAAAACAAGCTACTGTAATGAAAGTCTTGATGTTGAGGTTCTGTTTTATGAGGTATCACTACTGTAACTAATGTATCTCTTGATCTGGTAATATAACTACCAGGTGTCTGAACACCACAACATTTTCAGTAAACAACAGAGAAATAATTTTCTCATTAGTACCTTTGATATGTTTGCTACATAATTATGACTTGGTCATATGACAGAGGTTGAGATGTACTTCAAAGTACATGTACATTATATTTGGTTGGCTCTATTAAATGGCAGATTTAATATTACCTACATGTAAAAATAGGCTTTCTTTTTATTTCTTTCTATATTAATTCATCAGGTGAAAATCAAGAATATTTAAAATTGGTTACAAAATTACCTTTAGCAATCCTCTTGTGTGTTTTGCTGTGTGTATGTGACTAAGTTCTTCCACCACTGTCATTGGGAAATCTGTAAATACAGAAAGAGGAGTGAGCCAAATTCTGCCATGGAGACTTTAGAAGAAAATTTTATTCTTCAAGTACTCCCTTATTCAAATATTTGAATAGAAACATTGTGTAATGTGTACTCAGGAAGCACTGTATTGATTTCAGTAGGTGTCATGCAGCACTGTAAGCAATCATGCACTAAAATAAACTTATTTTTGGAGATGACATCTTCAAACTCGCTTTCTGGTATGTCAGGAATCACTTTGCTATGAGTGCAGTTGATGTTTCAAGTGAAAATAATAGTCTATACAAAAGTCTGGTGAAGAGCAGAAATAAACAGAATTCCAAACTCTGTCTGTCTGTGACATACAGAAAAAAAACAAAGAGAAAAAAATTAAAGACAGATAAATGATGTGCAACATGTCTACAGTATAGTTATATTTGACTCAGTAATAATCCTCTCTCAGGAATGATAGCTTACTCTGTAACATGAGTCAAATAAATGTTGTTTGTAATTTACTGCACAGTAAGTTACTGCTGAGAAAGTAAATTGGAGGCAAAAAGGAACACACCAAGCCAAACATGAGGTTAATTAATTCCTTGAGTTATTTGGCAGTTGTTTGGCTTTGTGGTTTTATAAAATACACTGAACTAAACCCAGGACAGAGGCTGAGAAGAAAAAGTGGATCTACCTATTATTATTATTATTTACACAAAGATGAACACAGACACAATGAAATGCAGGCACAAACACTGACTGTCTTCATCCTATTGCTAAACTCCTGCAAACTGGATGATGGTGTAGCTTCTAAGTAGATCACAGAACAGAAGCAGATGGATTAACTGGGATTTCAGACAATATGAATTGTCTGAATATAGCTGGGCTGTGTTTGATAATTTAACAGAAATGTTTCTTGTTGAATTACTGTCATGATTTTCTCTGTTTCTCTGTAGCTACCCCTATGACCAGCTTTTCCCACCTTTGCCAGGGGCACTTGGCTGCCTTCAACAGTAGATGCATCAGACATCTCAAGTAAAACTACTGTAATACAAAAATGCAAAATCTGCTATTTTTCTTGGATTTCTGTGCTCTGTAGCTCTCAATAAGCATTTTTCCCTCCCCACTTCTTTCAGACAATTCCTTATGGTTTTTAGCTTGCTTTGTCTGAGAGTTTGGTAAAGACCTCTCATGAATTAATAGAACTACATGCAGTGTTCTTCTGTCTGAGAAAAGTATGAACAAATGCATTCTTTGGCTAAAATAAACTGCTGTCATCTATGACATGCATAATGTTACATGGGTCAGAGCAAAAGCTATGCAGTCCATGTGGTTATTTTCTGATTCCCTTAAGGTCAATGGAATTTTGTGAAAGATAAAAGTACAGCATATTTTACACAAATATATATATATATATATACATATACACACACTGTATAAATATATATATATACACACACATACATATATATGTTTTGCTCATTTGGGTAGAGGAAATCACGTTTCAATAATTATGTGTCTATAAATACTTTGTGAGATCTTTAAGTTATAGCATCAGAAGGATCAGAAATATGATGCAGTTTCAGTATGGGGAGAATAATGCTTTCCTCATGTACAAAAAGGGCTCTCTTAATTTGTGCATCACTGTATGAGAATGTTAGGTGCGCCAGAATGTTTCTTGGAAACAGCTCAGTATCCATGAAACAAGAACTCAGGGAAAATGAAGTTCAGAGTCTTTTGTGTGGGATGCCTTAACCAAGCAATAGATTATCTTGGAGGTGTAATTGTTTTATTTTTAATTTTTGGTAACTAGGGTCAGTGAGACTCCGGGGAGGCAAGAATGAGTTTGAAGGTACAGTGGAGGTTTATTTGAATGGAATCTGGGGAACAATCTGTGGGAGCCATTGGGACAATAATGACGCGACAGTTGTATGTCGACAGCTTGCACTTGGGTAAGTTTCAGTTCAAGTAAAAATCAGTCAACTCATTTTCATGATGTTTCAGTGTAAAGGACAATCTGCTTTGTAAATCCTGGGGGCTTTTTGTGTTTGATGATTGCTTTTTTCTGTTTGAATGTATTTGAATGCTGAAGCTGTTCTTCCCAGAATACTTTGCTGGCTTCAGCTGCATTACACTTCTATGAGGAAATCAGTATTTCCTCAGAAAGCTGGAGATAGGATCTGGACAGGAGCAGACTGTGGCAAATGCTTTGCTTTCAAAGTGAAATGTGTGAACAGGGCAGCAAGCTTCAACAAACTGCTCTACTGGACATCTGGGAGATGTCCACATGGACAGAATTACGTGGTCTGATCCTGATCTCACACATCTAAGCGTAAATTAACAGCTCCAGTGAGGTTATTGAATCTATAACAATGTAAATGGAGCCAGGATTAGACTCTACATGGGCTCCTAATCACAGGAAAATTCCTAATTCTCAGGGGCAAGAGGTTATCCTAGTAATCACCCATTGTAGTATGCCAAATGACACCTGGAACTCATCCTACGTTTTTGGCAAATGGCAACACTTCAGAGCTACAGCCATACTGGACAGGCTGAAAATCCCTGCACTGTCCTCACTGACCATTACTTCCCAGTGCTGCCAGAATGCAGTTAATCAACAGCACCCTTTAGCATAATTTGTCTGCCTTTATTGCCTTTCTAACATTTCTTTCACTCACATACCAAAGCACTGGTTTTGCTTGCTACAAGCAGTAAGGGGCTTTTATAGCAGACTTGCACTGTGACATTCCTAATGATTAATCCACTTTTTAAGACTGCTAGCCAGAACTAAATCTAAGCCGGTTTATAATGTTCAATACCAATCTGGACACACCATGCCAACTTATAAAAATATAAGGATTAGATGAGATAAAAGTTCAGCCATCTGGAGGCTGTGATTTTGCTTATGACTTCAGCTGTCTACGTGCAGTGGCTCCTTCCCTCATTTTCATGTGAGTCCTATCTGCTCTCTATACCCTGAACATTTCAGCTGAACGAGGCTGCTGTTAGCAAAAGTCGTTCAGCAATACGGGTGAATGGTTTTGTCTTTTCAACAGAAATGGCTCAAAGCTGAACCCAGGCCAAAAAAGCCCCAAGCAAACAGTAGCTAAAACTTGGAGCTGTCTTGAATGTTTCAGAGAAATTTGGATCTCTGTACCACCAGGTGAACTCATGAGGTATTACTGGTGCTTTTCAGGTGCTCCATCTATCTGTTCCTTTGATATCACCATATTTGGGCTTTGTTTTAACTTCATTGTGCTTTGCAAGGAAGAGAAGATGGCTCTTTAAGTGTTGCTGTAGATTCAGCATGAGAAGGAAAAAGAGCTGTTTATAAAATGTTCTGGGTGGATGGGAATGGCTGAATGGAGAAAAATGGATGGGGGCCTGATCTGATGGAGTGTGAGGTGATGGCACTGCCCCATCATCACAGCCACAATACAAGGCATTTATGGGCAGAACATGGTATGTCTGCATGGAGTAAAGGACAGAATAAGGGAGAAAGACCTGGTGGCATTACTCCTCCTGGAACTGTAACTATAGTGGGCTGGTATTGTAGATTCACCTATGGACTGTGGAGTCTGTGTAGTTTTTGTAGTTAAGAACTGGGAGAGCAGGAATGTAGCTGGCTCTGCAGCAACACAGTCATTGTACTAAAATATCCCACAACAAAATGGTGAGAACTGGGTCACATCTGTTACTTTTCTTTGTGCAGAAGACAATGGTGAACTGTATGAAAATGTGATGAATTTACACTACTGAAGAAAGCCCTTTCTTTTCTACTCCAAGATTTATATATGAGAAAATGTTTCCACTTCCCATCCTCCCACTCTGATATCCTATCCTGATTATTTTTACAGGGAAAAAGGTACAGCAAAACACATACCCTTTTCTGGATTAGGCCTTATTCCTGTTTTCTGGAGTGAAGTGCGTTGTCGTGGTGATGAAGAAAATATACTGTTATGTGAAAAAGATACCTGGCAAGATGGGACATGTCCTCAAAAAATGGCAGCTGCTGTCACATGTAGCTCCTCCCTGGGTAAAAAAAAATACATATGTTTTCCTCAAGTCTGTGTTTTATTTAAGTAGAAGTTGTAATAATTACAATAATTAAATTAGAAAAAGTGTTAAGATTTCTTGGAACAGATTATACAGATTGAATAATTGCATTATTAACTGCTCCAAATACCTCAAGCAGCACCTAGCTTAACAACTTTTTACCTTTCCTAATCAACAACAAATTGTTTCTTTCAGATGTAGGTTGTGAGAAAGAGTAAGGTAGCAATAATCTCTGTCTGTAAAATGAAAACTGTTTCCCCACTTTTTTTTAATGTCAAACTTATATTATTAGGAAAACAAGTATCATTAATGTTTTTAAGATATTTGATATTATTTTAATCAAGATGCTAACTAAATGGGCAGGCATGCCATCAGATTTAAGATAGTGCTGCCTCGAGTGGGGCTAGGCAGACAGTGCTGGGGAGTTGGCAAGGCCAATCTCTTCAGCTGGAACCAAAACATGTGGCTGCAGCCAGTTCTGTGCTGCCTTTCTTCTCCTACTTATGGTTTTAAGTGGCTTTTAAAAGAAAATTTTGGTCTTAGAAAATTCTTGAGTAGAGGGAAGGGAGAATCTTTTCAAGCTAGGAGACAAATTAAAGAATGAAAACAAGAGAGTTTTGCCTAAAGAAACTGAAAATTATAAATGCTTTCACATTTTTCAGGTTCTACTGCAAATAGCCTTTTAAAATATTTATAACCTCCCCCCCCTCCCCTCCCCATATCAGTGACACACTAATATGAAATTGGAGAAATGCCCTCAGTACTGTTGTTTTGGGTTTTTTTTTTAATAACCAAGAACTAAATAGTAGCATTAATTGGCTGGAAAGTTACACAAATATTACTCAAATTTAAATAATTTGGATGTTAGATATGGCAGAACTTAAAAATAACCTGGTTCACATTACAGCAATTATGGAGTTTTATATGGCTTTAAACTATTTCTATTATTATAGATTTATTTAGCAGTGATGCTTCAATACAGTTCCTTGGTACACCAGAAGAGAGCTACTGATTTTAAAAGACTGGAAGCAAGCAGGGAATAATACTTGCACAATTCAACTGAGACTCCACAGTCAAAGAGATTTCACAGCTCTGACTGCATTTTCTAATGGAATGAGAAAAGGGATTAATTTCTGTGTTCATCACATAATTTTTACCTCTTACTTCAGATTTTACCCAATTTTGCTCTTACTTGTAGAAAAGTAGCTCTCCTGACTGATTCAGTATTTAGCCTTACAGCACTAAGTGTCTGTGAATGCTGTGACACTTAGGTAATTCAAGATCAATATGCTTACTTGTACGTGTAAGCTTTTTCAGCTAGTGAGAGTGGAGCATAAAGGAACTCACTTTACTTTCAGATTTTCCATCTAGTAGAAAAAAGAAAATGTGGTTCTTGAGTGATGTTGGAGGAACCATTAAGCCACGTCTTCCTCCCTCTTTACTATCAGAATGGTATTTTAGGACATGAATGACCTGTTCTATATCCTGTGTTTGCTGCCAGGCCCTGTCTTCACTCCGATCCGGCTGGCTGGTGGGAGCAACGCCCACGAAGGAAGAGTGGAAGTTTACCATGGTGGCCAGTGGGGCACAGTCTGTGATGACCAGTGGGATGATGCAGATGCTGAAGTTGTCTGTCGGCAGCTCGGCCTTGGGTTTGTTTTTCTACATGTTTGTTATTCCAGCAACAAAGCAGAAGAGTTATCAGACCCTCAGCTGAAGCTAAGAGAAGCGTAACTGTCAAAAAAATGCTCCTTTAGAATCATACTGATACTTTGGAGCAGTAACTGAGTTTATTTATAGAAGATTCAGGTACAGTGACATTCATTTCAATTCCCTGGAACCAGTTTTTAGTGTCATATGAGAGGGCCAATTTTGTCTGTTTGGCCAGACAGATAAAGAATAAATGTTAACTTTGTAGTGAAAACTCACTACAATTCCTGTAAAGTTTCAATCCAAACCTGTAGGTGAAGAAAAGAAATTTTTGACTGTTTGAATCCTTACAATTCATTTTACTGCAGAGTCTGACAGCCTCCTGGCTCTGGCACAAGAACTCTGCTTTGTCAGGAAGGATATGTTTTTTGGCATGCTTGTGAGAATCTCTCTAGATTTGTTTAAGCCACGCATCTCTGAAGATTTTCAGTTTGCATATACTGAGCTAGAGATCTGTTTGAGGTTTTGACAGTTAAGCTTGTCAGTGATTCTGTCTGAACTAAGCATGGTCCGAAATACAGCTACAACGGCAGAAGAGGATTTTTTTGATTCACTTTCTTAACAGCCAGAGGGGATTTTGATACCCCACAGAAGATAAGTATTGGTATTTGCAGAAAAATGCTGCAGAGGTGGGAGACTAAGAGGAAAACTGCTGGACCAGAGAGGAAGGAGATGAGGACAATTGGGATGGTAGGCCAGTAGGGCTGAAGAGGGAAAGAACTGGGAGCAAGAAACAGAGAAGATGCTGGGTTGTATCCCATGCAGGAGAAGGGGATCATGTCTGAGACAGACTGGATGAGAGCTAAGCAGGTAAATGCAGAGGAGACTGGAACAGAAATTGCCTGTTCAAGCCTGCTGGGACTACAGTGAAGTGAAAGAAGTGGTATTGAAGGTACAAAGTTCTGTGGCATTCATGGGTGATTCCCAGAGTGTACTTGTTTTGTAGCTGAGGCCATGGGCCACCCATGCCACCCAAATTAGCTCAGAAGGATGAGAACTTTGGAGTAGTTAAAAATATTGTAGATGCCCTGCTGAGCCAACATAGGAACCAATATGCTTCTCTGACATCTGGGTTTTTTCCCCCAGCTTATTTTATGTTGTATTTCTCTATTCCGGCACATTTTCAATTGGGAATACCTATTGGAAAGTCTGTCTTCTGGCAGGCTTTTCTTGCTTTGGAATTGGGCTGCTATTAATAGGTGTGGGGAGTTACTAAGCTCTGCTTTGCATTTCTGTATACTAATGACAAGTGTAATGCTTTTAGCCTGCCTCCTTTTTATTACTTTTTATTACTTATATTTCATCATCACAAACTGCAGTTTTGTGATGCTTCTAATTTGATTTGTTTTTCTGAGTAAATTAATTGTATTAAGATGGTGCTAAACCTGCTAAGTCTTTTTGAAATATGTCTAGAGATTTACAGAATTTCTCAAGTAAGCAAGATGTCACAACAAACATGCTAATTAATATGAAGTGAAATCAATTTACCAACAGAGGCAGTAGACCAGTTCTGAAGTACTAAAAATAATCCAAATTTGCATACTGTTAATCCATCTGAAAACACGCCAGAAACTGTAAAAGTAAAGCTTCTCTCTTACTTCCCAGTAAGTAGCTTCCCACACCCCTTCTACTTTTCTGTAGCACTCCTGTAAAAATCCAGAATTTGAATCTACCATTCATAGGTGGAAAATAATGGCAACTTCTTTTATTATTTGGTTTCCTAAACAACTTTTGCTTGACACAAATTCCCCTGGTTATAATGATGGGATGCGTTGTCTCTGCCTAACTCCAGAGACTCTTACTAGAATATGATAACATGGAATAAATTGTAAAAGAATTCAGAGCAGTCCATCATTATCTCTTTGATTTCAGCCAGCTGCTTAATGAATAGGGATTTTTTCCTTAATATTTTCTATACATTTCCGCCAGCATTTTTATCAGATACACTGGAAAAACAAGATGCTTTTTTAGTTAATTTAAACTAATGCTTTAGATAGGTAAATCATTACAGTGCAAACTTTAGACTTTTCAATCTTGCCATTTCAAACTAGAGTGAATATAAGAACAGAGAAAATATTGAGTGGAAAGAAACCAAACCATGGCTAACACTTACATATGAAAGACATGATATTTTAAATAGAATAGGAAAAATCCTGATAGATGATAAAGGGTTAAACACTGCATCATTTCTGTAATTCTAAAACAACAGAGTGTTTTCAATCAACATGGTTTTTTGTGCTCAAAACCCGTTCTGCTGACAGAGAATATACCCTATACAAGGCTAGTCATTGGTCTGCTTCCTGTTCTTATTTCTATTGCTGATGGGTGATATGACACTTGTCAAGTCACTTAAGATCTCTTTGCTGTGGTTTTCACAGGACTAAATAGGGAACAATCACATTTATCTGGGTATTTGATTAATGTGCTTTGAGGACAACAGGGGAAAGTCACTTTAGAAATATATATTAGATTATTTTTACTATGTATAGATATTAAATGAGTATTAAAATTAGAATCCTCATACCCAAGCTGTTCATCTGTAATCTCTCCTAGGAAAGTTAAAAGTCAAAGGCACAGGAAAGGAAAATCTTCAGCTTGCTTCCTTCTGACTGGGTGCTCCTTGCATTTCTACAGGGGTGTTGCCAAGGCATGGAGCCAGGCTTACTTTGGAGAAGGCTCTGGCCCCGTGCTGCTGGATGAAGTAAGGTGCACGGGAAATGAACTCTCGATAGAACAGTGCCCAAAAAGCCCCTGGCGAGAACACAACTGTGGCCACAAAGAAGATGCTGGTGTTTCCTGCACACCTCTCACAGGTACTCCAGTCATCAATCACCACAGGAAAAAACAGGACAAAGGCAGAGTTCACAGCTCTGCAAAAAACTTCTCAAGTTTGCAGAGGCACAAACTCAAACTGGATGCAGTAAAGGCAATGTTACTGATTTTGCTTTAGAAGTGCCATGAGATCTAAGAAACAGTGATGCTTGTTTCTGCTTTCCCTTGTTCCGGGCACAGATGGTGCGCTGCGGCTCGCAGGCGGGAAGGGCAGTCACGAGGGCCGCCTGGAGGTCTATCACACAGGCCAGTGGGGCACGGTCTGTGACGACGGCTGGACGGAGCTCAACACGCAGGTGGTTTGCTGGCAGCTGGGATTTAAGTAAGATTACTTGATACTGGATATCTGACTCTGTGACTTGAGCATGATGACAAACAGTTACATGAACCCTACATGGGCCCTATTTTCAGATTCTGCTTTTTAATATTAGCTGAGTGCTTCAAAGAAACAACCAAGTTACAATCCATTAAAGCCTGCTTTCCTCAGTTTCACAGAGGTATGTAGGCCTTAGGTTAGGCAGAAAAACCTTCAACAAGTGTGATTTAGCAGCCTTTATTCACTGAGTTCCTTCTAATTCTCTTTTTGGCTGAGATCAATGCATGTGCTATAGAGAAGAACTGATTTTGATTTCTATATTCCCTATAAAAGTTTGCTTCTTCTAAATCTTTGCTTGTTGTACAGTCATTAATGACACACATTTTCAAGGTGTAAGTACTTCTGCACTGCCTCAGAAATTCCCACAGCCTGGCCCTGGAACAGTTATGTATTGAAAAGCTTTTTAGAAAAATCCCATTTGTTTCATGCATTCAGTCTTCCCTACTTTTCCTACTGATCTCTGGCTACAAAGATACACTCTCAGTAGGTGACTGTTGTCTTGCCTTCAAACTGTAACAGCTGACATTCAAAAAAGGATTTTGTCTCAGTATGTGACATTTAAATGTACACAGAATACTAAGAAGATGCTTAAAGCCTCAGAGTCATTGAGCCAGCCATATGCTTGGTTGAAGAGCAGCCTTAATCAAAGGCATTACATTCTTAAGTTTGTACTAATGTAACAGTAATTCCTTAAAAAAAACATTACTGAAGAGGCAGCATATGGTGCTTTCATTGAATTTAATGCTAACTGAACCTGCTTACTGAGAGTACTTGAGAAATCTTTATTTCCTCAGGAATATCACTTTCTTTTCTCATGCTTAAGCATCATGTGTCCTCTGATCACCATGGACCAAAACATACCTCTGTGTTGTGCAGGTATGGAAAAAGTGCAGGTATGGAAAAAGAGGGCTCCTCAGAAGGAAGCTCTGGGCCCATCTGGCTGGATGATGTGATCTGCTCTGGGAAGGAGACAAACCTCCTGCAGTGCTCCCGGCGGGAGTGGGGGAAGCACGACTGCAACCATCAGGAGGATGTCAGACTCATCTGCCACCCAGAAAACGACAGCCACAAGCGCTCACTTGGTAAGGAAGCCCTTTGCTAAAGTCACAGTATGAGTATTGCTGTGGTTACAGATCTAACCAAAGTACAGGATACTTAAGGATTCTCAGAATCATAATATTTGTCAGATAGATGCAAGGAAAGAACAGGAAGGGAAAAAATCTAACTTTTCTCCTGAAGGTCACAGGAAATAATCAAGTTTTGTTTAGAACTTAAGAATCCAGAACATTAAAGCTCAACCCAGATTTGCAAGGTAACCAAGTCACATTCCAGGGATGCCATTGTCTGTCTCCACTAGATTTTGAACCTATTCAGCACTTCATGATAGATATCTAATTTTACTTGGCACTTCTCAACCTCCAAGTAATGTCTGGTGTCAAATGCTGGAGACATACCTGAGCACTGAAGAATACAAATCAATAGTACATCCTCCAATGGCTTTGCATTCAGACAATCCAAAACAAGGGATATGGAGAAGATGGGAAGTTCAGAGACAGCAAGAAGGTAGGATGAGAAGCATGAAATTATTTCTGTGTTACTATTGCCTATCATTTATAGTGTCTGGGTGAACGGGCCCCAGTCACTGACCAGGACAGAATGATACTACACACCCAGATAAAAGAGTTAGTTCCAATGTCAAAGCCTACAGACTTGTATGAAAATAAAGAGAATAAAAAGACTGATAAGTAATGATAGAAAAATACCAATTACACAGTGATAAAAATATAAACACAACAAAATAGAAACAAATAAATTTCAAAGATTCCTAAATCCACATCCAGGTAATTAAACAATAATTCTGGCTATGAGATATTTGCAGTAGAAACTACAGGGGAACAATGGGTTGCACAGAAAAAGTTTCATTTTTACAATTTGCTACATGAAGTGTGTAGCTTGTCAGTATGTAGCCTTTTAGAAAATTGCTGGCAATGCCGTTTAGCTTACCCAAGATTATTTCTGTTGAATTTGAAATTGGTATTATATGCCTGTTTCCTTGAAATCACAGACTGAAGCTTTATCCCACAAACTACAACATGGTTTTACTGCACAATGTTGCTAGTTGTTTACAACAAAATTCAGCACTTCCACATGTACTTTTTGAGTCTCTCCCTCTCTACAGGCCTATTCTATATAGCCCTCTCACCATCCAATAAATGTCTTGTGTTGCAGTACATATATCAAATCCTATTTGTTAGAAAGAATTTTCTCAAACCAAAAATAACAGGAATTCAATCCATGACTGCTGTCTTTACAGATGCAAACCATCTGTGCCACTTTGCTCAAATTCCTATGAAATATCTCTGCTGAAGGAGTCTGGTTCAGTTAAATACATCCATATAGTAACATTCTCACATTCCCACTACCAGAATGCTATATTAATTTTGTGCTCAGAAATATATATATATATATATAAAAATATGTTTTCTAACCACAAGAAGATAACAATAAAATATTATTTAAACAATAAATAAACAAACAATAAAATATTAGTACTATTCTGTGCCTCTATTTGGTTAATAGAAGTATAATTCTCACCTAAGTTGTATTCTTCCAGAACATATCAGTTCAACAAGAAAATAAGAGTTTATCTGACATTTCCTAGGAGATTTCTGATTGGAAAGTGGACAAAGTGTTGTTACCATTTAATTCCCAGCATTTGAAAAAGCATTTTTTTCCCATAAGGATCAATTCAGTGGAAAAAAAGGAGAAATTAGTAGATGATAAGACTTAAAAAAACACAGATATTATGGAGCACTAAAAAGGAAATAGGATTTACTGCAATAATGACATTTGTTCAGTAAGATCACGACAGTGTAAGTAAACAGAATGTTGGTGAAGTTAAACCACGTAACTGTCCAGAGAGTATGAACTCCAACACAATATGCTTTAAATTACATCAGAAGCAAACATACTTGGATTTTATCTTCAAATACTTCCCCATTCATTTAATGACTTAGGCCAGATTTAACTAGCACTCACCAGAATCATGTTTGTTATACAGAAGTTACACATACCCCAAATTAATCTGAATTAAATATCAAATGCATCCATCTTAAAATACTGCTTTAAGAATGCAATTAAGTAATCCCTCATCCTCACATATTTAGAAAAGATTGGGAACAGGTTAGAAGAATGAGGAAGAGTCTTTTCCATTATTCTAAAAAGCAACTCTCATGTGTATATTAAAGATTATAAAGTATGCCATACAAAAAGATTGAGAAGGTGATACTCCCTTGAACACAACAAAGAGGCCACAGAGGAATTCATTACTGTTTTAAAGGTATTTGCATTGCTTGCAGGCTACAGAGGCATTTTAGAATAAGTAAGAATTAAGTATGTACTTTGCCTAATGAGTCAAAACTTAACTAGAGGCCAAGCACTGCAGAAACCATGATCAACTAAGTCTGACTAATCCACATAAGTGAAATTTCATATTATGAAACTATCTGATTAAACAATCAATTTAAATTGCTAGAAAAATATAGAATAACATGCTGCAGAACAAGGTGCACAGTGATAAGGAATAGTTGAAGTACAACACAATGTTGCACTATTTTGCTGAGACAGTGGTTAGGAGGAGCAGCAACAACCAGTTTGAGAATGCATTTATGGACTGAGATAGAGTTACATTCACCCATAAAGTGTCTCTAAGGAAAATCTGTCCAGCTTGTATGGGTATCATATCAAAGGTATCTCAGGTGTTTTCTACCATTTGTATAGAATTGTGGTCAATTTCTGAACTATGCCACATATTGGCTTGGAATTAAGGAATCAGCTGAAGAGTAAAGTACAGTCGTATTTAGTACTGTCTTGTAATTTGTACAAACTGCTTCATTTTGCCAGCCAGGATGAATATGACTACTTTATTCACTGATATTAGGCTTGTTGAATGTAAATATCAGTTGTACTAAATATAATGAAAGTAACTAAAAGTACCAGTTCTTGCTTCTGTTGCTGTGAGCTGACAGCAGTAATTTATTCCCAGGTCCTCCCATCAGGCTGATGGATGGTGAGAATAAGAAGGAAGGACGTGTGGAGATTTTTATCAATGGCCAATGGGGCACAATTTGTGATGATGGATGGTCTGATAAGGATGCGGCTGTAGTCTGCCGACAGCTTGGCTACAAGTAAGAAAGCTCATTAGGCTGCTTGTCAGGTTATGTTTTCTGTATCTAAAAATCTTAAGTTTCTGCAACCAAATACCACAAACAGGTCTAATAAGATAATGTATGTCTTTTAAAACTTGTTAGTTTGGCATTCTTTTAGAAAAATGCATTCCTACTATTTGTATGAGAAGTAGTAAGGCTATGTCTTCAAAAAGAATGTTCATTAAGTAGCATAACTGGGAATGGGAATGTTAGTATTCAAAAGTGTGTCAGTCTGACTGACAACAAAAATGCAAGTTAGTGAGAGTTATTAAATACTTTTCATTATAAGTTAAACATTCCAAATTATTGAATCTATTAATTAAATACAAAACTTTAGTTGTCATATTAGTTTAAAAAACAGGTCAGTGTCCACTGTCACGAGGCGTGGACACGATGACTGCAGATTGAGATGCAGGCACACCAGCTATTGAATTCCTAATTTAATGGAGTTTTCCCTTCCTTTAGTGATCTGGCTAGATTTCATGTAGCTCGAAGATCTGATGAAACTGTTACACAAGGGATTATGGCTCCAGTCTGCACGACTGTAATTTCAATAAGCTTCATTTAATACAGGAATAGACCTGACAGAACAAACCCACCCTCTAATTAAAACTACTGCAATGTATGTGTCACTTTTGAGAGAAATCACTTAATCAGGCTTACACCAGTCATCAGCATTTTTCTTCTGGATACCCAAGAGCAGCAAAAAGATAACTATAGGGGAGATATATAAATAGCAGTACTAATAAGACTTGAAAAATACCCAGAATAGTAGTGAAATACAACAGGAAATTAGTGAAATGTCATCTCCAAGTATATCTATAAAGAAATTTGAGCTGAAGAAATACAAATAATATTGTTTGTTGTATCTAACAATGTGAAGTCTGTCCAACCAAATATCATCACATTATGCCTGAACACACAATATATACCTTGTAAAAACTCCCTGGTATTCATTTAGTAAAAGCCTATTTAAAAGCAGTACTACACTGTGGCTTCTAAATGGCAAAACTTGACTTAGAAGTCAATATATCACTCTTACAAGGTACCTAACTTGTTAATTCTAGGATAAGTGTCCATCTATCCTAATCCACTTGATTTCCTCATTAACAATATCATGAATAATAATAATAGTACTGCATCTGAAAAACTCAGCATTGTTATTCTGCATGGCCCTTGGTGTGGGAGAACTAAGAGGAAAAGATCTGAAGCCACTTCTCTCCAGGGACAGATCTGAACTGACAAAAAGGTTGTTTCTCTGAGGGTCATCAGTGCATAAATAGCTGGCTTGGAAAGCAGCAATTAAGGGACACGTGTTTGTTAGGGGTGCACTAAGGCCATTGTAAGGGCACATTCCAGCATGTAACAAAAACAGAGATGTAACATTTGTACCTTCAGAGGTTTCCCAATTACATGAAATAATTTCCTCTATTAAACTGCACTCCTTGCTCAAGAACACCACGATTTTTACAATTGTTTCCTGAGACGTTTTTCAGTGGGGGTTGGTTTGGGTTTTCTATGGTGCTGTTGGTTGGTTGGGTTTGAAAAGCTTTCATTCATATTATCAGCAAACTGAGAGATTACTGATGCACAGTAAGAGATAGATTGTTTTCATACAAAGGTAGGAAGAAGGAGGTAGTGCCCTTTTACTAAGTAACTGATAAGATCTGGAGAGCGAATTCTGTACTAAACTGCAATAAATACTTCTCTGGGGAAGGATAAGAATACTTCGGTTGGTGATTGATAACAAAGCAGTTTTCAATATCCTGAGGAACTTTAAAACAATGCCCTAAAGCAGAAACTTTGTTATTTGACAAAGAAACCAAAACCAAGTAAGAATTTACAATGAGTGCCTGTACTGTGTCACTGTGTTGCAACAGCAAACATGAACACATGAGCTGCCCACAGGTATCAGAGAGCTGGACTTATTTTTTTTGTGGTTATCTGTAATCAGAGTATCCCTCACAAAAGAAAAACATTTGGAGCAAGAGTCACTCTATTTGGGACTGACAAGTCAAATCATAGTAAACTCCTTAGGCAGAGATTGTCCTATACTGGTTCCAAAGGCAGTTAAGGCTTTGGATTATCTGGCAAATACCTCCTAACCATGGAAACTGAAAATGTGTAAGGACAGTTGACCTTGTGGTGTCGTCTCTCACGTAGTGTTTCATGAGCTTCTCTTTCCTGGCTTTTTACAATTTCTGCATTCTAACCAATGTTCCCTACTTGGAAATCCTACCCATCTACCCTTCAGAACATAGTAAAAAAAATCCACACAGGCAAAGCTATCCATGTGCAAAAGTTTCAAAATGGAGGAAGCTCCTGTGTTACTTTCATGGTTCAGTTATATGGATGTGGCAATTGAGAGCTGGTTCACTTAGAGCCAGTCACGTTTCTACTGTGAGGAAGCTTTGAAAATGGTTTGACAAATCAGGATTGCTCCCGAACAGACCAAACCCAGCTCAAGAAGGGATGCAAACCCTTCATGCCATTCTCACTTACCTTCCCCAACACTGCAGGTAATAAAGAGGTACAAAAAGAGCTGTAAAGGGGGAGAAATACTTTCTTGCCTAATGCAGTTTCATAGTCGAATTCTCTTTCTCGGCTCCAGCATTTCATCACATGTGCAGTTACAGTTCTGTATGCACAGAAGCAGTACTTCACAATATACAATTATAAAGTATCCTTTAAAATGGAAACCTGTATTTTAATTATCTAGAATTCCACATATCCTTATTCCACTAAAATGTCAGTGAATTGCTCTTAACCAACAGGTAAGCTTGTAGTTCAGGCATGCTTAGAGGTGTCTGTGGCTTCCTGCCCCACTTCTCTGTATAGCCAATTGGATGGTCTCTCACTCATAATTCCTTCTGCCTCCTAAACCATATACAACAAAACATCTATTTATAAATTAAGAAGATTAACTAATTAACAGTAATACTCTATCACAGGAGTTGCCAAATGAGATGCTTAAATGCTACAAAAGCACCAAGTACTGGGTTCCTCCCAAGAACAGGGGGGTGCAGACACTGAACTGGTGTTCAGCCACGTGACATTTTTAGACCTCAAATGGGGTGCCCTGTAAAAAACAACAGGATAATAAAATACTTTAATAACTACTAGCAACTTATAGGTCTGTACATCATCATTCCTACTGCATCACAAGTATACTGTATTTAACTGGCCCATCTATCTGAGGGAATCAGACCTGAACAAATTATTTTTAGCTTTCACAGATGCTGACTTTATACAAGGATTAAAGAGATTATGAAAAAGCAGCTTTCACGTATTTTATGGCAAAATGTAATGCTGATACAATGTAAAATACTTGGCACACTGCCTTCTAACCAGACACAAAAAAGCAGTTTTTAAACCTTAATGAAATATAGCAATTTTGTCACAGTTTTATTTTTTCTACATAGCAGAATAAGAGGTGGTGGAAGGTGCTTGTTATCAAGTGAAACAAGTGACAGGGTTTGGAATGAAACCTCAATGTCTTTGACTATTCACTTGGAAATTTGAGTAAAATGTAGACTAATGCCTCAAAATGTTTAATAATTAAAAAAAATGCTCTGTTTGCAGAGGTCCAGCCAGAGCAAGGACAATGGCCTATTTTGGTGAGGGCAAAGGCCCGATCCATGTGGATAACATCAAGTGTACAGGAAATGAGAGATCCTTGGCAGACTGCATTAAGCAGGACATTGGGATGCACAACTGCCGGCACAGCGAGGACGCGGGGGTCATCTGCGACCACCTAAGCAAGAAAGTCCCTGGGAACAGCAATAAAGGTGAGGCCCTGTCACGAGGGGCAGACCAAGAGGTCAAGGTGAGCAAGTTTCTGGTAGGAAGAGACAGACTTAACAATCCCACCTCACAGAGGAAACACCTTTATCAAAAACAATTCTAGAACAAAAGGGGTGGGAATTCTCTCTGCTGACACTGTGTGAGCTTATTCTTTGCAGCTGCAGAAAGGAATCATCAAGACTACTCAATCAATACAGGGTATTTGTTGCCATGGTTTAGAGCAGCCATGTTCATAAGCTGCTTGAGGGACATGATGCAAAAACCCAAATAGCTCCCTTCAGCTTTTCAAGGTGTAGGTTATCCTCAGATAAGGACTGAGACCTGTGTGGTTTGGCAAGGTTTGCTTCCACTTACAGGAAATAAGGAAGAGCCCTATAAAATCCTACATGTGAGAAGCAAATGTGTTCATGAATGACTCTGATCACAGTCAAAATAACTCAGTTACAAAGCATTTCTAAGTCTTTAAAGAATTCAGTGTATTTTCCCCAGTCAAAAGATCTCAGCTATAAAGACTTTCTAAATCTGTTTTCCCCAATCAAAATTTGCCTGTTAAAAACTACCATGAAAAATAGAATAGCTTCAACCTTTAGATTTTTTATAAAGTTACCTCTCATTGAATATTGGCCACTTTTCATGTTGACTTTAACGCTCTCTATATCTCCCTTTCTGGTTTAGATTCTCTTGCTTCTGTTTGTGGGCTGAGGTTACTCCATCGTCGACAAAAGCGAATAATTGGTGGGAAAAATTCTTTACGGTAAATAATTGGTAAAGACAAATAATTTTGAATATAAAGCTTCTAAGACATATATTTGCCACAAGTGCTTTGCCCAATTTACAATTTTATTGTAGGCTTGCTGTTTGTTTTTCTTTTGACTTGTCATGATGTAGGAATAGAAATATACCCAAAGCAAATTTGCAGGAAATTAAAAAGTATTAATTGGTAAGTACTTGCAGCATTAGTTGAAAATCTGTAGATGCTTGTGGGTAAAGTCTGTGAATGGGTTAAATTTTAAACTTACAAAATAGCTATTTTACTTTTATCAGAGGATGTCTTCATATCAGGATGTGAGCTATAAAAACAGAGCTATCAATGTAGTACAAGGTTTTAAATGCCATCTACACCAAAAAAGAGGCCTGGGTATGATTCACTGCCTAAGACCTTATTTTCTTTCATAAAATAAGCCTTGATGATGACACAACTAAAAATCCAGGAGGAACTGACTTTACTTTTTCAACAGTTGTGACTAAACACAAAAAAAAAAAAAAAAATTTACACAATCTTAGAAAAGGCATTGCAAAAAATACACTAACAGCATCATTACAAGCACTGTGCAGCCTGTTTCAAAGTACATGCACAGCACTGATCAATCCATTTCTAAGAAGACACTGCCCAAGTGGGAGAGCTTCAAAGAACAGTAACAAGAGGGAGCCCAGAAAAATATTTTAACACAGCCAGATAAAGTAAAGTAGGATGACTTACCTTAGTAAAGAGACAAATAAGATAACAGATAATGCATAGCACAGGAGGAGACTGAGAATTCTTGCCTTAGAATATAAGTTCTAAGGACACTTGCTGAAATGCAACAGTGACAAACAATGTATTGCAAAACTCAGAGCAAAGAAGCTGGTCTCATAAATCAGTACAGAAATGTTAGATGAAGCAAAAAGGTGATGAAAATCCAACAGTGCATGCAGAAATGCTTCAAATTCAAGAAAGGGAGCATATGTATGTATCAGAAAAGGACTCAATGTCACAACAAGTCATTAAGACAAGGAACTTGAGGAAGTTTGAAAAGAACTGGATACTTACATATGTACCAGCAAATCCAAAGCTGTCTGAATCACCTCATTTTAGAAAAACATATTAAATCCTACCTTTTAAAATGGAGGAGTGTCTAAATTGTTTTATTCTTTATGGGAAGTAAGCTCCTCCACCTTACTTTAAAACATTTGGCACGGGTAACTCTGAGATGCTGGACTAGATGGCCCCTGGCAGCTCTTGTTTTCCAGCACACCCATTCAAGTTGACAGTACTCAGAAAACACTCAGACTACCTGTTGCATACTCTCAGATGCTGCTGTTGCTTACAGGTGCATCTCTCTCCCTTTCTCTTCTCTGACTCCTAGTGTATTAAACCAGCAAAATTGAAATCATCCTGTATTCATAGTATGCAAAAATGACCTGATCTACTATAAAAAACAGATGACAGGCTGAAAAAAGGTGCTCCTCTATACTTGAGACTTCCACAGTTGCTTTATACCTCATTTTGCCACCTTCCTTTCTCATGAAGACCGGGATGGATGCTGGGTTCAGCTTTTCAAGAAATTTTCCTTTCCCCTCTCCAGTTGACAGGAAATTTCTGGTTTGTTGACTTGGACGGTATTTGGCGAGCAACCCACAGAATGTATTTTTGGCTCAATGAATGCAATCCGAGAAGAGAAAATTCAAATAGCTGACTGTGGGAGGAAGCACTTAAGAGGGCTGGATGCCTAAATTTTCTGTAAAGTAATGTGGACCATTGTTAAAAGGAATTCTGAATGTTGCCAGGATATAAAATATTGACCATCCTTAATAAAGAGCACATTTTGTAAGTAAGCTGTGTCAGACAAACAAAGCCAACAGGATGCACACTGCAGGTAACCCGAGTTCCCCGGTGCTGTGTGCTGAGCACCGTGTGTCACTCCTGCAGGGGCGGCTGGCCGTGGCAGGTGGCACTGCGGCTGAAATCCTCTCATGGTGACGGGAGACTCCTGTGTGGTGCTACTCTCATCAGCAGCTGCTGGGTCCTCACTGCTGCACACTGCTTTAAAAGGTGGGTCTCTCTCCAATAGGGCACCCTGTTTTAAACTGCTTTGTTGTTCTGGGCATATGCAAAACCATTACAGTTCAAGCCCATGGAAAACTGCTCCAACAGCTGGCCTTTGGTTTTAAAAAACCCCACCACTCAACCTCCTTTCCCTCAAACAAACACAACACCCTAAGGCATTGAAATTATTTGAATGTTATCATTCATGTGATTTATATTCACCACTTCAGTATTTTAATGAAAAAATAGAGATAACGCTTTGGCCATTTTAACTGTCTGTTCCAAAAAAAAATGCAGCTTATGGCTTTTAGATTATAGTGAAGACAACTGAGCAGACACCAAACACAGGGACTGGAATATTTTAGATTAAATTTGGTAACAACAGATCCTGACAGTGAGAGACATTTTTACTGTATTCACAGCAGTAACTAAATAAAGGACTTCACTACTGATGAAGTTACTGAAGTATAAAAGCATCAATTTGCACAATAAGGAGGCTAATCTTGTGATTAGTGACTATTTCATTGGAATGGGCTGGGAAAAAACGTAGAGGAGCACTACAGTTTTGAGGGTATTTGCTAGAGTTCGCTCAAGTGAGCTGCAAATGTTTTAAATTTTGATTTTGAGTCTTTATTTTGCACACTAGTAACGAAAATGAAGAGTCAGATACACTTATACTCAAATACAGTGCGCATTATCTTTGCTGTGCACCAGATGCACATCTTTTCTTGTGTCCTGAAATCACAGAGGACTTTCCTTGGCAATATTTCAAGCTGAAATAGTCAAAGTTAGTAAAATTTCCTGCTATTTCAACTGATGTCCTAGATGATTCTGCAGAACTATGGAAGCTCTTTAGTTGCTTTCGTCAAAATTCATAGACTATGGCTTCCTATTTCCCTGTTCATTTTCTCTGTAGTGATTGCCAAGGATGCTGCCTGAGGGTCTTGAGAAAGCCTTTGATTACAGGCTTGAAAACTGAACGTGGCACCAAGGAGTGCCAATTCTGGATACTCTGCTAAGCACCCACAGAATGGGGCAGCAGCATGGCTGGAGCAAAGTACACTGTGGTACTTCCAGATTGGTGCAGCTACTCAAGGGGTTGCCCCAGGCTGCCCTGAAACTGTCACCCATGGTCTCAGGGACCAAAGTATTGTTTTGTCCCAGAAGTTACGTTTAAACTTTAATTAGACCTAAGAATGCAGCTCCAACACCTTGTGGATGCACTACTGTTTACTGTAAATGAGGGAAGCCTTTAGCTCTAAGCTGGCTTTGGAAGGCTGGGCTGAACTTCCAAATGATCTCAGAGTGATTTTCAGGGATAGGTTTCCAAGAGCTATCTATAGATCAAGTGCCTTCTTCACATATTTTCCACAGATGGACAACAGAAAGGCCAGTATACCATTTCTCATATCCTGGAAATTGGAACACTGCTTAAGTAACCAATGTGGGCTCATCTATACTACAAATAAAAATTAAGCATAATTTTATGTATGATTATTAGAATTGTTCACCAGTGTTACAGGGGAATTATTGGTTTCTATATTTTGGGAGATACATTATTTAAGATAAAATGTTTGAAGCTATTTTTTGTTTTATAACCCATCCTTGTCTTGAGTTATTCTGACAGCTATAGGGAAATTGGAAGGTTCATGCGTTTAGAAAAAATAACTGGATAATTAGAAACATGAGGAAGCATCGGAAAAAACCCGTAATGTATCTTATATACAAGTTCATCTTTGGATGAAGGGATGTTTGTTCACAGCCTGCAGTTCTCTCTCCATAAAGCCTAGAAGAGAAATTTTGCTCATGGAAGACCTGAAGGATTAGACCAAGAAAGCTTTACAACCAGGCAACCAGAAATGCAACCCACAACTACAAATAATATTCAGTGGTACAGCTACATATTGTGCACAAAACTGTAATTTTTCTGCTTTGTCTGCTGCTCCTCAAGCAGGCTTTAACAAGCTATGCAGACCAGAACATTGCTGGATGGTATGAAAAGAACAGGCATAGGTTCAAAGGCGATGGGCCACTGTGGGCACTATTTTTTCCAAGCACATTACAAATTTCTTGTTGAAGGCTATTAAGGGAGAAATAAAAGGAAAAATATTTCTGTTAGCTTAGCCATATTTTAAAATAAATACATGTACCCAACAGTACTCTCCTGTTTGCATTTTGCCTGGGAAGGTCTGTGCATAATACAAAAATCTTCACAGACATGCACAGAAAATTATTTCAGCCACAGTAGTAATCTCTATTTACCATTTAGTCCACAATGTGAAACAAACTGGGATTATATCAGATGCAAAACAAGCCTAAGATTTACAGGCCTCCTATCAGTTTGACAATAGTTTGTGCTTGTGATGCACAAATACTTTGTCATCCTTACTTTAACTTCACTTGATGTAAGAGGTTTTTATTAAGTTACCTAAGCCTCTAAAGTTCCTCAATCAACTCAAGAAGCAGGCCTGAACACTTGTCATACCAGTAATTATCTGGAGTATCCCAGTGATGTCAGTACTCAGGCTGCAATTACTGGCAGTTTGCATTACCCTTCCTAAATAAATTTATAATGCACACCTTGTACATGTGAAGTGCCAGTCATGGCAAATGGCCAGAAGAAAATTGCCTGTGAAAATATTCAAAAAAACATGGCACAACCGAAAACCTCAGAAGAAGGTTTTTATCATCTTTAGAACACACTGAAATGTCAGTGTAAACATTTGAGAAAGCATTTTTGCTCTTTAAAAAATCTTTTACTAACATTAATTATGTTAACAATAAAGAAAGCGATGAACTAGGTTAGCACGCTCAGGATGTGACTTTGCCTGAGCCAGCCCTGTTTGTTTTCACCTCTGTCTCAGGTATGGCAACAACACTCGCAACTACGTGGTGCGGGTTGGAGACTACCACACGCTGGTGCTGGAGGAGTACGAGGAGGAAATCGGAGTCCAGGAGATTGTGGTGCACAAGGACTACAGGCCTGACAGCAGTGACTACGACATTGCCTTGCTGAGGCTGCAGGGGCCCGAGGAACAGTGTGCGAGGTTCAGCACCCACGTTCTGCCTGCCTGCTTGCCACTGAGGAGGGAGCGACCACAGAAAACTGCTCCCAACTGCTTCATCACTGGATGGGGTGACACAGGTAAGATCATTTCCATGCACCAATCTGCTTATCTCAGGCTGTTTTCAAAAAAACCCTCCAAATAATTAAAAGAAAATGCTCAGAATGAAAGTATTTTGCTCTTTTTTAACATAGGCAAATATTTTCTCTCCTGATCCTTAACCAGGAATGACAGTATTTTATTTACTGATTACAGTTTGTATTTGTATCCAAGAGGTGATTAACCATGCCACTCTAAATCACAGCCCCTGTCAGTAACGTGGCCTCATTAAGAATGACAAGCAGAAATAAAAGGCTTATTTGTTGCCAGGCAGACCCTGCACAGCAGCTTATCACCCCCTGCCTCAGTACATACCTAACAGCTCTAGTAGATGTAAGGTTTCAAAGGTAAGGACCATGAATATTTTAATTTTAAAAAGGTTATTGAAATTACAATACTTCAATAGAAAAATGGATGGAAAATATGCACGATAGAATTTTAAATAGCATTTTAGTGTTCCCTGTTACCACTGACATTTTCAACCAGCTTTGATTTAAATAACAGAACATCTTGCCAAAATTTACAAGAGCCTCAATGCAATCTGCACTCCAGGCTTCTACTTGCTTTTTTTCGGTCAGTACAAGATTCTTCCTCTTCAAAGGTCTTTGTCCTTTAAATGTTTCACAAATTAATAACCATGTTTTACTTTTATCTTGTTGTGGTGCTGAATACAGTGCAAGACAGCAACCACACTTGAGCCTTTGTTCCAGTGACTCACTAGAACTGCCAAGGAGACAAGGCAAGGCCAAGTATCTGCCCCTCCTCTTTACAAGCTCTAATCTGTGTGCACAGATGTCAGGGTCACTGTACTACAATAAATGAGAGAGAAGTGTAGGGTGGGTTTTTTGCTAAAAACAATTGTTAATTCATTGCCTAGCTCTGTCTAGTCTTTTTACATAATTCACTGAAAGTCCTGCAATACTGTTAACTTAGGACATCTATTTCAGGAAACATCAAACACTGCAGTAATTGGCTTCAATTTATGGTAAGAATTTACATCATTGCAGTACCTCAGCTGACATTTCACACTTACTATATGAATCATAATTGCTTCACAAGTTATAAGATTTTACTTAAAAAAAGGTAAAACCAACAGTGGCTTTCATTTCCCATGCTTTCAACTGAAAGAGGTGCAAGATGTGTAAAAAAAGTAGAAAGATCTACTTGAAAGCCACCAGAAGATGCAGCACCTGTTCAGGCTGAGCTACACTAGATTTGAACTGATGACACAGAAATAAAGGATTTCTGCTGCTTTACTCTCAGCTGCTCAAGACTCCCCAAAATTGCTTCCACATAGAGGTATTAAAGCGTATGCTATTCTGTAGAAGACAAAGTGCTCAGAATAAACCAAATCCCATCCTTGGAAAAATCCAGAGAGCACATGCAGAAAAGCTACTTTTTAAAAAAGGCACCTACATTTTACATTTACAATATCTACCATATTTTAGTATTGTATTTAATGCAGACATTTTTTTCAGTAGTCTTGCTTCCAGAAACTTTATGTAATGACAAAGCAGTGTGAAGACTTGAGAGCAAAAATTGGATTAAACCACATTTATGTTTCCAAGACTGACCATTGTAATGAGACAATAATTTCTATCTCCTTTTTAGGACGGGCTTATTCAAGAACACTGCAACAGGCTGCCATCCCCTTACTTCCCAAGAGGGTGTGTGAGGAACGCTACAAAAGGAGATTCACAGGAAGAATGCTCTGCGCTGGAAACGTGCAGGAACAGAAACGAGTGGACAGCTGTCAAGGAGACAGTGGTGGACCACTGATGTGTGAACGCCCAGGGGAAAGCTGGGTTGTGTACGGTGTCACCTCCTGGGGCTACGGCTGTGGGGTCAAAGATTCCCCAGGTGTCTACACAAAAGTTTCATCTTTCGTACCCTGGATTAAAAGTGTGACCAAACTATGAATGCCCATAATGAAAACTGAACTTTGAGGCAGGACAATTTGAACAGCAGATGCAGTGCACAGCTGGGGCCCACAGTGGGTGGAAACAGACATTTTCCTGATTCATGTGTTTTTGTTTTCATTAAATCCAAGCTGTATACACTCAAGCCTTCCAGTTAGGGATTACCGTCCTTCCTGTTCCAGAAGTTTAAATATTGCATGAACAAGCTACTATGTATCTAAGGGGAAAAGTGATAGCCAGCTAGAGTTAATACTGGAGCAGGACAGCTGGAGACTGCCCACAAGACTGTTGCTCCAAGCTATTTATGCTCCAAGCTTCTCTACAATTAATTACAGATCTCAATTAATCTTCAGTCTAGTTTATTAGTCTATTTTATTCCTATGATTTTACACTCAGTCCCCTAAATTGGATCATGTTTCAGTAGCTTCTGAGACCATTCATAGCCTGATTCTTGATAAGTAATTCTCAGTATGTATTAAATGCAGGAAGGAAAAGAATGGTCAATAATCACATTCCCAGGTAATTGGCTAAATGCCTTCACAGGAAGGAAAAGAATGGTCAATAATCACATTCCCAGTTAATTGGCTAAATGTCTTCACAGGTTAGTATGCTTGAAGTACATTCCCACGTAAAACAGGCAGTACAGTGACAGTTTCCCCACAACATCCTGCACAGCTGCAAGAGCAACAACTTATCTACTTCACTTAGGTAGCATTTGTCCTATTTCTGAAATTGGCAATTTTGAGTATATACAGCATTTTGAAGAAGATTCACTTTTTCCATTTACCACTAGCTGTCAGTAGTGTCAGACTAACAGACATCCCTATCCTTTCACTGCTGGGCTTTGCTCAAGCAGCGCCAAGAACCTTGGTCAATCCTACCAGACAAAGTTATACATACAATGGAGCTGTTGAGCCGAAACTTGTCTGAAAAGGTCTATAAAGTCTTAAACTATGTTTTCTATAAAGTAAGATTTAGACAACTCTCTCCTGCTTAGCTGCAACACTGGTTCAGAGTGATCTCACAGGAAAGCTTAGTTTTCAGTGACTTCTAAAGCACTGACACATCTTGATTTTGTTTAATTCCATTTCCAAATACTGTTCCCCGTGCCATGAAATCCCTAACAACTTTTTAAAAAAATGCACTGATAACCAACTTACTGTCCATTGAGAAAGGGCCACCACACCGAACCTAGAACACAGCAGGTAATCACCACCTTATTGTAACACTGAAAGGCATCAGTCTGGAAATCACCTGTGAACTGACTCACTGGGGAGGGAGCCAGGACACTACAATCCGCAGGTCAAAGACCGTGCTGAGTCCAAGCATGCTCTATGCATCACAGTAACAAGCATGCTCATAAAAACAACTGAAAGCTGTGGGCCATAAAACACTCCCGTGTGACAAGTGTGGCAGATGAGCGTCACCACATAGTGATTGTGCAAACTGCGACCACCAGTGACTGTTTCCCAGTTTCCTATTCCCCAAACTGGCTATGACTGTGTTGTGTGGTGTTTTGTGAAAAAGTGGGGTGCTTGCATTCATGCTGTAAGTGGGCAATTATTCATTTTTGTATTGTTGTGTGTCTCTCTGGTGTTATAACAAATATCCAAGACTCACTTGCATATGAAGTGGCAATGACATTGCCGAAGCCCATATGATTGAACATTTAGCCCTTAATATCTCCAACCTCAAATTTAAGTTTTCAAGGGTCAGGACTAATTATTGTAACTGGTGCTAAAGTAGTACATGAGGTGCTTTAATACATTTTAGTTCTCTGTAATTCCACACTATTTGAAATAGTGTAAAATATTTTAATACATCATAAATCACTGTACTGTGACCACCTACTGTTAGACCAATGCAAAACACCGTGCTAGTCAACTTCAAAACCATTGCGTTTTTACTTCTATATAGCCCTTAATTACAAGGGAAGTCAGTCTGTCAAAAGTAGCTGCATGTAACATCCAAGTTTTGCTGTACAAGACCCATTGAGACTTGTGGTGAAGTAGGCTACGTAGTGCAATATATATGCGTTATATACAGGGGAAAGGATCATCCTTTAATAGCTGCACCACAGAAACAGGATACTTTGTGGGGGGGGAACTAAACCTGCACACTTAGTGTAGTAAACATTTAGATTTAGTACAGTACTTTCTTATTTTTGCTCTTTTAATAGAACGCTTTGTTAGATTTTAAAATGTTGCACTGTTTCCATGCTGAGCATGCCTTCTCAGTTTCTAACATAAAATGAAATTGCCTCCATCTTATGCCATTCTCATTTTTGTTCAGTGAGCCTGATGGTGTACATGTATACAATAAAAACTGCCACACTGACTACAATTTCTCTATGTTAATTAATACCACAGATGTACAGGCAGCTGCTGCAGAACATCAGCTGGGTAAAACTCACATAGGCTGTACCTGAATAAGGGGACTCTTGAAATCATCTTCCCCAAAGCATATAAACCTAAAGGAGTTGGTCTCATTCCCAGTGCTTTAACTCAGACCAGTTACATTGTCCTAAGTTCATCCTACACTTTTAAAGCTGTCTAGTAACTACGTTAGGGATGGCACAAACCATGAAAACGCTTGCATTTGCCTATTTAAGATAAGCAAGTGCCCTTGCAGAGCAGATGTGCTGAGGTTATTACAGAGGTCCAATGGTTTTGGAGAAAAGAGATTTCAGAGTACACACTCCTGATTGCTGGCCACCAGGCTTGGCAGCCACCACCTTGGAATGCAGAGCAGTAAGCCATATGATCGGGCTGTTAAAAGCAGAGAGTAACCATGCACCACCAGTTAAACAGGTGTGCTATCACTTGTTACAGCACCACAGAAGAAAATGCATTTAACTGTACTTCCACTTGGGCAGAAGTTTATGCTTAAAAAGAAACTGAGTTTCCTGTGACAGCTCTCTAATCTGCCCACCAAACACAACCACCGGAAGCCAATTGCTCAGATCTAGTGCACGGTGTAATTAGAGCCCACAGTTCTGCTCCCTTCACTTCAGGCAGGAATCCTGACCTCAGCTGCCAAACACCTAGCAGTAAGTACACCACATGCTTATCATCTCAGCTCCAGCTTCACAGATTTTGTTCCCCAGTCCTTTCAAACCCTCCCTTTTCACTCCCAACTTCTCAGTTCTAACTATCTGCAAAAAATACATTATTATTTGAAAGATATTCCACAAGAGATTGTGCCAGCACAGCTGGTATTCACTACAACAGCACATTCAAGTGAAGTATCTTGTCTGAGCAGGCAATGATTCACCATCTACTGGATCTATATCAATTTTCTCAAGTATGGATTCCTCAGCAACGGCAAAAATCAACTCTATTAAATTAAGTTGTTGCTTCTGCCCTGCAGCACCTACCTCTGATTCAAGCCGTACCAGTTCTGGAGCAGTTCCCAGACAATGCATCAGCCACCTGAAACCAGAGATTCTGCCCAAAAGGTGTGTCCCCAGAACTGGCAGATTTGGCATGTGTAAGTAATCCTGACAAACACATGTAGGTCAAGCCTTAGTTACCAGTAGTTTTTCAAGAAAGGAACCACACTTGCAGCCAGTCATGTCTCTTTATTGACTTGTTCATACATTCAAAGGCTTTACATTCACACAGACACCAAAATTACAGCTGGACTTTCCACTTCCATTTTCCAGACTTCAAAAACTTACCTGCAGCTTCTGCAGCACGGGCACACTCGTTGAAACACCTTTCTAACACGTTGGGAGCAGAGGAGCCATCCCTGAAGGTGCAGTGCAGCCACTCGACTATCAAAACCAGTACTGTAATAGCTTAAGGCCCAGTGACAGCCCAAAGAGAGGAGCAGCACACAATGAGATCCTAACTGTATCTGTCTGTATCAAAGCAGTCAAAGCTAATTGTAGGCACAGTAAGCTGGGTTCCAGCCCCTCTTCATCAAGATGAGACGGACTGCAGAAGCTCTCATTACAGCTCCAAATTTTAACTTCGTTTAAAAACTGAGATAAAGACCTAGCCTAAAATTAGCTTTTACTAGCTCTGCTTGATAAGCAGAAATATTACTGCTCCCAAAAGACATCGATTCCAGATGATTAAACATACCCACCCCACCCTAACTGAAAATGAACATGTTTAGACACAGCTTCTCCAAGAACTCATATGTGGAATTTAGCCTCATCTTCTTTCAAGATGGTTTTTCCCCGGTAAAAACAAGTTTGAGGCAATTTAATATTGCTACTGGAAACACAAACAGCAATCATCACCAAACAGTAGGATGCTCTCCCAGAAGTTGTAAAGCTGCTCTGAAACAAAGCTGTTGGTATTAACTTCCAATCTCCCTTGCTGCTACAGCCGCAGATTTCTCTTAGTACTCACATGCTTATAAAAAAAGACACTCCTCTTGCCCAGGATATCCCTGAGGAACCTGTGCATTCAGATGCTTCTAGTTTGGCAGGCAAAGTACTGGCAGTGTGTTTTTTATGCTAGGAATAGGGGATTATGTTTTCTAATGTCTCTACATCCAAACCAAATTCCTCCTGGTCACACTAATGCACTTGATTACACTTTTCTGTCCCAGAGACACATAAAAATGAAGCATGCCTTAAAACAGAACACCATGATACCTAGATTTCGAAGTACAAGTCACAGTAGAGTAATCGTTAAACATAAATTATTAAATCGGCATTATTCCTGCCCTAAATCTCACCTCTGAAGAGCTTATTAGACACAGCCAGACACATACTTTTTGGGAAGAAGATCTTTAACAACTACGTCTTCATGCTTTCAGCTTCTGTGCTCCTACGGAGTTAAAAAAGAATAAAAAAGTTTAAGAACTGGGCTGTAATAGTTTTCTGAAGAAAAAAAAAGGGGAGAAACCTGAAACACCAATTAACAAGAAAACACCCAAAAAGGGGAGGCGTCTAACCCCACGGCAGAATCGGTTTGTCACTTGCCACAGTCAACGACTCATACCCACACGAGGGTAAAAGCTATGCCAATTAGCAAGGCCCTGCTCTTCCATGTCTAGGAAGGGAGTGAGCCACAGACGGCAGCTCCCATGGATTCATGGATCTCTGCTTCCCCCACCACCCCCCTCGTCGCCACGTGGCGGCCGCCATTTTCCCTCCCTCATGTGGGCCCAGGCCCTGGCCCCGCGCGGTCGGCTCCCACCCGTCCTCCCTGTTACGCAGCCCACGCCTTCATGGAGCCTACCTTCTGTCTGTTACGCTCCGCTCCTTTACCGCCGTGGAGGAGAAGGGGCCCGATCCACGAACACCGCCGCCGTCACTGCCACTTCATCTTCACCCTCACTTTTCTACTCCCGTGGCCGTCCCGCCTCAGCGCCAACGGCCGCGCCGCGCGCTCCCCCCCTCAGCGCCAACGGCCGAGCCGCGCGCTCCCTCCCTTAGCGCCAAGGGCCGCGCCGCGCGCCCCCCCCCCCCTCAGCGCCAACGGCCGCGCCGCGCGCCCCCCCCTCAGCGCCAACGGCCGCGCCGCGCGCCCCCCTCAGCGCCAACGGCCGCGCCGCGCGCCCGCCCACGCGGAGCCCCATCAGCACGCGACCCATCCTCACGCGCCGGCAGCGGGAACTGAGCGCATCCGGGACCCCGGGCTGGGGGCGGGGCTTGGGGCGCTGGGCGAGGCCACGGCGCGCACGCGCACTGAGCTCGGCCACAGGGGAAGGTGCGGAGGTCAATGGGATCGATCCCCCTCACCTTTTGATTGCCGCTCCTTCCCGAATATACCGAGCAGCATCCCCGCGGGGAAACGGGTTAAGGCATTCTCCAAAAGAAAACAGAGACCTTCAGCTGGTTTGAGACAGCGATGCGGCTTCGTCTGTGTAGATACACGTGTGTGTGTGCTTGGTCCAGTCATCAGATGGCCTTAAATGTTACAATAACACTGCTCGGTTCTTGAAAACCATGGACTAACATAAAAATCAGAGGTCGTGAAAGATGTGCTAGAAAAATGAAGTCATCCCTCCAGGTGAACACAGATTACTTTCCTTTTCCAGTCTATGTAAGCAACTGCACGCTGGCCAAATGTCCACACCTCAATTTGGAGTTACAGCAAAATATAACAGAATAGTCCAGTTGGGAAGCACCTACAAGGATCATTAGTCCAAATGCCAACCACCTCAGGGCCGACCAGAAGTTAAAGCCTGTTGTAAAAGGCATTTTCCAAATGATTTTTAAACACTGACAGGCCTGGAGCATCAACTACCTCTCCAGGGAGCCTGTTCCAGTGTGAACACCTTCTCATAAAGAAATGCTTCCTAATGTGAAATCTAAACCTCCCCTAATTACTGTAACTCTCACACCACAGCAGCTTATTGGACTATTACTAGTCATCCTCAGTCCAGGGAAGATGATCACCCTTGACTTGGTCTGAATTCCTCCTCCACTCAGGTTTCCCTGGCCCTTGGTTTCAGTGCTGATCGCTTTCCTGCTCCTGGGATTTGCCCTTGGCTGACTGTTGTGCTTTCTCCATCCATTTCACCCAGAGAGACAAAAAAAAAAACAACATCTTTTGCCTTTGAGCTCTAGGAATTGGTGGACTGGAAGAACTGAAAAGAAATATGATAGGAAAGTAGATAAACCAAAGACAGAGGCCAAAAAGCTATAATTATTTGTAGCAAGGATCTTTCCCCTTTTCTTATTACTTGTTACTACTTTACTGGTTTTCTAAGAGCTTATAGAGATAGGTATTATACAAGAAGCTTAGACTTGTTAATTTTAAGTTGCATCATTTCTCTGTAATGAATGCAATATTTTGTAAATGTAGGTTTCCCATCTCCCACAACTCCCCTAAGCAGATTTTACCCAGCTAGATAAGTACAATTTTGTGTTCTGTTCTGAATTTGTTGATAACAGTGAATTTTCCTTTGGACATTCATACCATCTTCAGAGGTTTCTCCAAAGAAAGCTTTTCTCATGTCTATGTAGGCTGATGCATTGGCACAACTATTGAATCCCCAAGGCAAATGATTTGAATAAATTTTCCTTGTTATCTTAAAAAAAGCAAACTCTGGAGATGTTTCTCCAGCACATTAGCAAGTGCTGGCACAAGAAATAAAAAGTAAGCAGGAAGAAAAGCAGTAAAACAAGCAGCTGCATAAAGCAGCAATATTCACTCACAGCAAGAGTAAGCAGTACTTTTCATTTCTGAAAACATCTCATGCTGCTCCTGTGCTGCTGGACCGTGTTAGAGCTCAGCATCAAGCTGCAATGGCTGCTAACCAACCTGGAAAAGGACAACTTTGTGAATGTGAAAGTCACTTCCACACAGCACTACATTTTCTTATCAGAGTTTATTGTTGCACTTCAAATACCATGCCACTATCAGAATAAT